CTCGCATTGGCCCGGCAACGCGTATAATCCTTCGTACACACCTATTCTCCACTCGCGTTAATTGCGAATAGGGAGCATTCACAGCAAGAAAGCGTTCCCCCGGCGATTTTCACCGCGTTCCGTTTAATATTCAAATAAAATATCACTGGTGACGTTGGTGACGCTGACCGGGCTCGAAAATAACGAATAATTTATTCCGAGGCGACGCTATCGAGCGGCTGGACGCAGCGAACGATCAGACGGTAATAGCTTTAACGTTAAATCAACTCCGGTCGCGTGGTATATTGATAGACGCGCGTGCGGCCGCAATGACGTAATTACGATTCGCAATTGCGGAGAATTGCCAGAGCGACCAACCCCAACGGCGAAACACCGAACAATCCTTTTTATTCACCTCCGTGCTCCCGACCCCTGTGTTTCGACTCACTTATCCCCGAAGCAGCCAGTGTTTATTGTATTCTCCTTATTTATTCAACGGCTTTATTCGCCGTGCTGGAAGGTAAAAACAAAGCACGCTCACAGGAAACATTGTAATAATTACACAACGAAATGGGAGACTCTTTTTCACGAAAAAACACGCACCGAAACATCTTACAAAAATGGACGAGCGTACGCCGTACGTTCTGAAATATTTAACTCGTCGCACCCGTTGCAACGAATGACAAAATAAATAAAAAAAGCTCGCGACTCTGGCGCTTTCCGAAAACCTGTTGCTGAGTTTCGCGGATCGAATAAAAAAAACGTGGAAATAAAAGTTCGTCCGAATCGTTATGGTTACAGCGTCCGCGTTAATGTTCGTTTAATTTCCCCGTCAATTTGCAAACTAACCTTCGTCGTTAAATTGTCGTGGGAACAACGGGGACGCGATAATTAAATTCGCTTCCACGATTTCGGTGCCCGACGCTTTTAATCTTATTTTCTGTCGTTGATAACGGCCACCGTTGACGTAGAGAAGAGAGAGAGAGAGAGGGAAACTTTGAATTTATCACTTGCAATTTTCCCAACGGACGACGTTTCTGTTGCGCGGAAACAAAAGCCATTCGAAAAAGTCCTGTAGGGCGGCTCGAACGCGCGAACAATTCTCTTAATCGTTGCAATTAGATCAACCGACTCCGCCTGCCATCCGGTACTTAATTACACTCTAATTAAATCAACTTCCGCCTCTGTCTTCCAGCGCGGACGACGAGCGGATTTAAATAATACACCTTTCTCCGATCGCTGGGTTAATCGAATGTTAAAACTCGAGGAACAGAGTCGACGATCTCTGATAAACAAAGATTTTTATTTAACGCGCATCCTTGGAGAACGGTCGTGAGTTTCTAAACGCTTATTACGGGAAGTATCGAGTATCTTACGATGGACAAAGCGGTGTTTTACGAATTTGCATGGTAATTACAATGCGGATATTATTTCACGGTTGAACGAGGAAACGTCAATCGCAGTTGTCACGCGACGCGGAACGCGTGACCGACGTGCTCCGAAGGATAGAAGCTCTTTACTATAGCTTGCGTGGGCTACAAAGTGACACAAGATCATACGATAAACAATTTGTAATTAAAATTTGTAATGTACATCCTGGAACGACGACGGCTCGCTTTGACTTACGAGACGAGCGCGATGAAGAGATAATGTAAAATAAATCTTTGTAAATAAGTATGGTTACGAGTGACACGGGAAGATCGTGCGATGAGCGAATTGCAATTTTAATTCTTGACGGAACGTCCGATGCTTCTCGCGTTGACTCGTTAGATTACGATCGAGATCCAGAAGGAATGCTGTTTTCGATTTTTTAGTACGTGTATTGTACTAGAAATAGATTAGTAATATTCTAAAATTGTAAGGCAATGTCTGTGTATGTTTTTGTAATCGATCTGCAGCACAAACGATATCTAAAAGGAAGACAGCTGAGAGAGGAGATCGATAATGACGTAGAAATACAGAGTGTTTCTTTTATTCAAGGAGTCACGTGTTTATTTATGTATCAGGTAAATGCGTAATAAATTCCAATTTTAATCATCGAGACATCGAAAGATCCTCGAAATTGCGTTGTTTGTCCACTGAAAAAATTCGTATCGGTCCAGACAGCAACGCGAAGCCCGGTCTCCGATAAATCGATGGAATTTCGCGCGGAAACGTTGCGTACCTCGTGCATCATGGTTTTGCGTTCGGTTGTTTGAACGGGGCCTGGCATGTAATTAAAAAGCCGGCCAGGATTTCGAGTTTTTGCAAATTTTCCGCTGGACGTCGAAACTTTCGGAAAAAAGCTTCGAGTCCGCGGTTTTCGTTCTCCCGTTTCCGGGCGCTCCAAGTTTAATTAGTCCGGATATTCGGTTACGCGCGGACGCGCACGAAAATTTTAATTCACGTTTCAAATTCGTCCGTCGATTTTCTTTTTCCCACGTTACAACACGTTTGAATTTTTAAATTTCTCCTCAGGTGACGAACGATCTTATTTTATTTGATTATCGATACAAGTTTGAGGCGCCAAAGGTTAAACTTTTGGTTCTAAGACGCTCCTAAGAGGTCTTATAATACTTCTCGCGGCAAAAAATAACTATCAATTTTGTATACTATCGTGAAACACTTTAGCGGCTCTTACAGGAAGTTATCGTTTATTTTAGAGTAAATTTTGTGACGGTAACGGAATATTATATTCCAAGTTTGTTTCGGTATGAATTACGTATGCAAACAGAGTTTCCAAAAATAATATTTCACTCGTATCGCGTAACGTTACGGAAATTGCTAAATCGTATTATTGTACTCGCGTATCTTACATGGTACTTCCGGATAAACGCACACCGTCGGAATTTTTAATCTTCGTTGCCCCAAAAACGCGATAATCTGATCTGTTTAATGGAAATCCCAAAATACGGTGCTTAAATATTTTGAATAGCCTCTGTGGACATGAAAAAAATGACATATTAAATGGAATCACGGGTAGAACGCGGTAGAAAAGAAAGCCAAGTTTCATGGAAACGCGTTCCGGGGGACAGAGAATGGATGGACGCGGCGGCCGGAAACCGCGGAAACCAACGTTCCCGTTCGGATCGAAATTTCCTCGGACCGAGGGAAAATTATCGGGAAAGTCTATCGACTGAGGGGTGGGGGGGGGCGAGGTAAACTGGCGCTAATCACCGCCGAAATCTCGATTTAATGGGAGCAGGGGGGTGGTTCGGTGCACGCGGAGCTGGTGGTGCGCAACGGCTGGCAAAAACGTCGTCCCGTTCGAGCGCGTGCATCGCGACGATAAATGCCATCGTGCTCCGTTGCGCGAGCTCCGTCGCGTTTTATGCAAAACAGACGAGTCGGTACGCTGCGGATTTATCGATGAATTCGAGCGTACGCTCGACGAGACGATCCCGCGTACCCCGTCTTCGTTGTCCTTCCGTTTCCCTCGCTTCCGACGAATACTTCTGCTGCCGTAGGAAGCTTAAATATATTGTTTCGAGCGGATAAAGCAGATTCCCCGGAATTCCAGCGCGCGGATAAACAAGATGAACGCGCCGCAGCTCTCGAAGGGGGAGGGAAACGCACTTTGGATTTCTCCGCGGCGGTGGAAAATTTTTTCAACCGTTCCCGAAAAGGATTAGAGGGCGTTCTCGTGCTGGAGAACGTCGGAGGATTAACGAGATGCCGGATTACACGCCCCCTCCTCCTTTCAGAGGGGGGGATGATTACGACTAATACGAAATTATTGGTAATCGGCGGGCCCTTTGTGGACGCAGTCATAATATTTGTGCTTCGATTCGAGAGACTTTTTCGTTCGCGAACAAAATATTTCCGGGAAACGTTGTTTGCGTTGATCACCAAATTAAAATTGTATGGTAAATAGAAGTCACTCCGGACGGGGTGATTATTTTATCAGTCCGCTGGTGGAAGCAGACGAGCACGATTTAATTGCGAAAGGGTCTCGTCTCTGCAGTATTAATAAATTCTTCCAATCCCATACTTTGGAATTAGTCGAAATTCGTTTTACTTTAATCACCGCCTGTATAAAGAGCGTAAAGAATTTAATGGAACTTTCTTTATACTCTTGGCTCGCTGTGATTAAAGCCAGCAACGCGTTCAGTTTGCTTTGAAAATCCGGCATCGTGGAAATTATTACTGCCAAAGACAGTAACAATTAGGATTAGCGAGGATAAACAACTTCGTTGCGACGATGCTGCATAAGGTATGAAAACGCGAATAATACGAGCACTGGCTACTTGACACGTTCTTTCCTTGCGATTCTGCATATCAAAGACAATGTTATGCGGAGCACCGAAGGAAAGCTTCGAGCGTTATTGGATGTTAGCCACATCTGAATTTTCAAACTCATATCTCTACAGGTTTATATGGAAAACTCTGGTCCTCGCGGTCAAGTTTATTATCCAATAGAAACGAATTTCATTAATCCTTCAGTGGATTATTGGGGGCCTCCACAAGTTTAAACTAATATTGTGTAATATATTTTAAAGGAAAGTTGATTTCCGCTTACTAATTTGATAAAAATCAACATTAAGTAAAATAATTCAGTTGAGACTAAGAGTCCACTTAAGAGTTGTCCAAACCTCTTCGACCGAAGTCTAACCGATTTAATTGCAAGAAAATTCAAAGTACGACTATTAGCCCGTAGAATTATGGATCTCGAGCCGCAGTGCCAACCGTTTTTGGGGCTCGAGTATCCAATTTGGGAGGAAAATAAAAACCGAATCTCGTCGACTGGCCGAGCCAAAAACTGACACTGAGGGGGATTAACCGAATCCTCGTCGATGTCGCCCCCAGCGCCAAAGTCCTCTCCGGTTGACCCCCTCCGATCCCGTATAGGGGGTCTTAAAAAGTCAATTTCGCGGGACAAGCGGCTAAGGGGAATCGACAGGTTCATTGAGGGATGATTGGGCGCGTATCCTCCCCGTCGATTTCGGCATTTTTACAACCGCATCGTAGAAAAGCCCGTGGAAGGAAAACGAACGTAAGCGAGCGCCACCCCTTCGTATTGATCTCGTAGCCGGCTGCTCAACATGGCGCCGGGGGTGGCGTTCACGATCGGTCTGATCCTCGTCGTCGGACACCTACAACAGGGGCCAGGAATCCACGCGAAGACCTTCACCTTCCCCGAGTACCCGTACAAGGAGACCACCAAAAATGTAAGTCGAACCCTAACCGCGAACTACGAGACAGAAACGCGTTTGATCGCTGGTAGAGGTTATGGTTGGCGATCTTTATTTTGGGGGTGGCGCTTTTCCCCAAACACCGGGACAGCTGCTCTATAGCGCGACAGGAAATTCCACAAATGCGTGGCGATCACTATACTCGCGATCAGTGAATTCCACGAACGTGCGACACGATATCTCGTAAACAGAGCTCTGTGAACTTTCTTACGATTGTTGTGGTCGGTGGTAGAGGACAGTTACGTACGTGGAAAGTATATTTTACAAGGTGGAATCTTCGATGGTGGGTCTAGGTTCGAGTGGAACAGAATTTCGAATAGATTGACACGGTATATTGAGAGTAATTCGATTATGAAGAGGGTTGGTTCAGAGGAGGGTCGACCTAACCTAAGGCGGTCGTTTGGATCTCGATAAAGTTTGCAATCTTTCCATTTTTTTTTTTTATTTCGAAGCATAGTTCCGTTGTTCTTTGAGAAAAAAGGAATTTCGATGCGAAATAGAATTTCAAACCGATTTTTGCAACGTCCTCGGACCGACTGGTTACATTAAGAGGGTTGGCCAGGGTCGATCGGCTTAACATCCCCCCATGGAAAAGGATCAACCTAACCTGCGACGATTATTCGAATCGCGTTTAAGTTTTCAACATCCTGCTACTTTGTTTCTCCAAAGTCGACTCGATTTCTAGATTATCGTGACTATCGATGTACGAATTTCAAAACTACAGACTATAATAAATTTACGTGAACATATCATACAAGCTACATCGTGTGGAATAACGAAGTTACGTGCATATGCGTGACATTTCCATCGCGATAATTATTTCACATATTGATCGTTAGAACCGGCTTTTTAAATAAAATATTGCCCTATAATTATTCTATTTTAAACCTAAATATAACGTTCTAAATAGTCTGCCGAATAATAGGACTGATAAATTCCAAAGAGTAGAAAATTGCTTTGTATTGTTTTACTACCCGATTGCAACGAAATTTCAAAGTTCCAAGCAATTCACCAAAGGCGATCCAGTTTCTCTGTGATCGCATTTGTTGCCATACTTTCAAAATGACCGTGTCAACGATGGAGCTTCGAATTTTTATCCAATTCCTGCGATATCCTTTGAGCGACGCATTATGTTGGACCGTCGCAGAGCTCGACTTAACGTTCCCATGGGGGACGTAACGGAACGGAGGTGGTTTCGCCAAAGGGGTGAAATCGATTTGGCATTAACCCGAAGACAGTCAAAGTGCTCGAGAGCGTGCTTCGATGGTATCGGTCGCCGATACGGTTATTGCGACAGAATGGAGCAAAGAGTACCATGTCGATCAATGGGAAAAAGATTTCGCTGAATTAGAATCAATTATTCAAAGTGTTGTTTACTCTGTCGAAAACACGAGTGTCCAAACTTTCGTTTCTTCGTCACTTGTTGCACCAACTTGTTACGCCCGATGCACATCGTTTTGCCAATTCCTTCCAATCGTATTTATCTACGTCCGATCTCTTTGAAGACCCATCTTTAAAGACTCATAAGTCTTTGCGTATTTATTTTTTTTTATAACAGAATTAAAATGGAAGACAGCTTGCGAAAGGAGCTCGAAGCAAAGGTAAAAGAGTAGAATTTTTACTTAATCTGCATTATCGCGTTACATGCTCCCGGAAAGCCCGTTGTAAGAAGTTGCTACAAACGTGTTCTCTTTAAAATTTAATCGTATGAATGGGTTTTTAATTTCGCGCGAAAGAGAAAATTTTTCATCTTCCTTTGGATGTTACTTTGACGATTTTAAGCAGAACTAAATATTTAAAAATTGCTACGACTTCAGAGGGCCACGGTTGGTGGAAATGAAATTTTAAGAAAGAGAACGTGCTTTAAATAACGCGTGGAAAAATGTGAAGTACGAGAATTTAGAAGCGTAAAGGGAAGTGGACAGTCTGTGGTCAGACCATCGTGAATACGACAAAAATTATGTTTCTCTGTGACTTGAAAACGTGCGTTTAAGTAACAAGTTTATTTGCCATTTTTACTAAATTATAACCTTTACGTCCCTCGTATAAATAAATTTTTAACGGGTTTCGTAGCAATAATGAATTTAATTTTTACATCGACTTGATCTCCCGGGAGAAAGGAGGCTGTCTTCGAAGAAAATTGAACGCGCCCGCGGTACCAATAATAGAACTCCATGCCAACATTAATTGGGGTTAATCTCCGAAGAGGCTCGAACCAATTGTTGCGCTCAATTTTATCTAGTTATCGCGAACTACAAGCGCCGTTTATATTTTCCACGTCGTACGAGTCCCTTGAGCTCGCTAAGTAACAGATATCCCCGACTGATTCGATAGAAAACTTTGACTTTTAACTTTAATTCGATATAGAAACGCATTTGAAGACGAAGACACACTAAAAACTGATGTTACGTTCCCCGCAGGAACTTCTCTTCAGGCAATACGAGCAGACTTGTGAAGAAAGCGGCGCTTGCAAGATGCTTCCACCGCAAAGTAACAGTATTGCCAAAACCAGATGCATCCGCGAGTGCGTGTCACCGTCCTGTTACAAAGAGATCTACTTGTTCGACCAGGTATACGCGTCATTTTGTACTGTGATCCCAAGGAACACTCGCAAGCTATCCTACGTTGATTTTAACAAAACTCTACGAATCGATAGATCGATCTGAAATACGTATTTATCTCTTAGCTACTGTGAGAGAAATTTAAGGGATGAAATCTTCGCCCCTCTGATAATATTTTGGAGTATATATTATTTTTTCTCCACACTGAATAGTGGATTTTAAAGTAGTGTTAAAGAGGAAACGTTTAAGAGTAATTTTAAATAAAATTCATCCCTCAAGATTGAGTCATAGCTGTGAAAAAGTCAGTCTTTTTCGCAAAGCTTGAACAAAATGGACGAAAGATAGACCGCGAGTGTTCCAAGTTGGATTAGAACGTGAGGTTTCGAGTGATCTGAGGAGGGTGGTTTTGTTTCAGCTGGAAGAAGGGGAGATCGACGTGAGATTGAACTCCTTCAAGGGTTGCTTTATGCAGCGCAACGGACGACCGCGGAAGTAACGAAAGACCGGCCGACGAGAAGTCGAAACGACGCCGGGAGGGGAGACGAAAACGATTTCAAAGCCATCCAAAAATAAAAAAAAAAAATATTGCAAAGGCCAAAGGTGCGCAGCGCTTCCGAACAGCTCCGATTATTTAGGGAGATTAGAACGAGGAGAGCGATAATTTAGCGGATACAAAACCAAAACTAATGCTATATTTCAGAATCACAGAAGCGCACGCGTCACACGCGGACGAATTAAATTCGTCCTGGATAATCTTTTTCTACTTTTTGTACGCACGTATTGCCATGTTAAAGTAATGTTACGAACCATGTTGCACGGGTAAAATAAACTGTTAAAACAAACGTCCGTCCTCTGTCCATTACAGTCCCTTGCGGTCAATCTTTAAATTGCGACAGCTAAAAATACAATTCGTCGAAGCTAGCAATCGCTTCTATAAACGAGTCGTTCGCTATGATTGTGGTGCAATCCTTCTTTCCCTGTTATTGTAACAAATATATTTCCATTTAATTCAGTAATATATTCGTCGTTATTGTCTGCACCAGTCTAATCAAAATTTTTGTAAAAACAATCCCATCGTATTTTTATATTTTGTGATATTATGAAGAAGACAGAATCGTTGCTCGCAGAGACTCGATGTTTCTCTAGACGAATTTGCATCACCTTCGTAACGAACGACTGAAAATCGAAGAAATATCGTTCAAAAGGGAGGACCCACCGCGTAGAGAAGACTGTTGAACCCAGCGTCCGTCCTGGAGTTCCTCGTGGCGTCGACGTACTTCCTGATTCGGTCCACAGTCTCTTCGAAGGGCGTCTTGCGAAGGGATCTCTCGTTCCAGGGCGCTTCGTCGTTGCAGTATCTTCGTCTGCAGCGAAGCCAGGTCGAGACGAACTCCAGGAAGTGGCAGGACACCAAGGGGGTGGCCAGAATGCTCGCCACCAGTCCATCGTTGCTCATCGACGTGCACACGTGGCACAATAAGAACTCTACGTGCTTGTGACAGAAAGTTATCACGCCTTCGAGACACTGGTACACGAGATCCCTTTGCATTGGGTCGCTCTGTTAAACAAAATTATCTTTGGTCAAAACAAAATCTCTACGACAGCGTGACGAGACCTAACTTTTCCATGCATCATGTGCAGAGTTTCGTAGAGATTGACAACTCCATTCGCGCGATCGCTGCTATTCGTGATCTCCAACCTGATGGCTGGCTCTTCGATATTCTGCGTGAGAAGTTCCAGCGCGAGCTGCATCCCATTGATGGAACAGTGAAGAGATTTTCTCGCGTTGAACAGCAAGTCTGCTAAGCTCTGAGCGTCGATCGTCAGCGACTTGTCGCGCTGGAGATCGCACAGGAGCAAAATCATATTATTTGAGAAGATAGTCTGGTCTAAAGGGTGCATATTTAATGTTTACTTTGACAGAGGATTTTTCCTGGCAGTGAATAATAAACGCGATCAGCTTCAGACATACTGCCGACAGTTCCGGGGTGTCCTCGGAGAATCCTTGGACGAGCAGCTCCTCCAAGAAATTCGGTGTCGCGATACACCTCTCGAAAACTGCAATTTCGAAGAGATAGGATTACCTTCGACGTCTCTCGTCTCTCGTACGTCACCGTGGAGTATTTACTTGTGAACGGTTTGAACGTCGCGGACGTGACCATCAGGACGTACGACTGCATCACTGCCAGCGTCCTCAATTTTAAGTCCGCGTCTCTTCTCAGCACGATGGCCACGAGGCTGTCGGCGCAACGATTCCTTACGCTCGGGGACAGACAGTTCGGAATAAAAATGTTTGTCAATTCCAGCACCGCCTTGATTTGCTCGTCTGCGAACAACGTTCGTATTCGTTCGTCGTCGGTTGGTCAAAGAGAAGATTTCAGGTCACCGATTCCACGCGAGGAATCGCGATCGACGATCCCGCTATTAAGTTCAACGGTGGGCCTCAATTGTTTTAGATCCGCGCGAATATACGTACCACTGACCGACTAAATGGTAATATCAAAATTAAACTAACCGTTTACACTACGGTGAATAATTTTTTCGGAATGATTTCAAACTTTTTAATTTCGCCGAAGAAAGGCACCTTCCTGAATTTTTTTCTCGAAATTGCGTAGGACTTCGGGGGTATGTCTATTCATGAAAAATGATTGTAACTGACCTCTGCAACCAAAAATAATTTTTTTAGAACGATTTGAAATTTTTTTTCGCCGAAATGAATTTCTTGATACTTGACGAATATTACCCTTTGCACTCGGAGATTTTTCTTCGATCACTTTCTTACGAAATATGCAGTAAATACTCCAAGCAAACATATCTTTTTTTACATTTTTTGCTCATGTATTTTGTCCTATATAATCACTTTAAAACAATAATATCGCTGTTTCCTTAGAAGATGCAACTAAATTCTTTGATGGATGTCCCTTCAAAGGGGATAGCCGAGTGCAAAGTGCTAATTGTAGCAGAGGAAATTGCATGTGATTACGAACTATCCAAGTTAAATAAGTTGATATGAAGAAGTAGATTGGAATCAGAATAAGATGGCGAGTATATTCTAAATCTAATGGACAGAAAGTCGCGTCTCTAGATAAATATTCGAACCTTTGTCCTGACGGTGGGTGGAAAGGAGAGTGGGTAGCATATGCCAAGCAATTTCAGCGATCTCCTTGGCGTTATCGACGCGTATCATCTCGCGAATTCCCTTCATGGCTAAGTTGATGATCCTCTCCGAGTAACCATTCTGTATGACAAGCTACGTACAAAGCAAAACTTGAAATAGTTCTTTAATTTCCAAGGTCCGATATAGTAAACTTGGATACCAATAAATAATGTCGAACGACTTGATCGCAATCCAACGTCAACAATGGTTCGATGTCCCCGTCGGACTCCACCAGCCAGAGATCCAACGCTTTGTTCCTGAGATCCCTGGGAACGTCGGGACACTTTAAGCAATAGCGAAGCAGGTCTATGTGGTGGGTGTAACAATCGTTCAATCGCGAGTATTGCAACGCGACAGCCAATCGCGTCGCTGCTCTGCTGTAATCCTGTTCCGAGTTCGGAGAAGGATGCGACACAGACGCAACGGCGAACAGAAACCACAGAACCTTCAGGAGTTGCTCCGAAATCTGCTCAGACTTGGGGATACCGACGATCCCCGAGATCAGAGACCTCAGACATATCATGTTCCTGAAATACTTTAGTTAGAGTCTCGATCTAAGGGGAAGAGGCGTAAAGTGGAAAAGGAAAGATCCCCAATTGCAAAACTTGTTTGATATTTTTCGTATTCCCCTTTATCGATCTTTCATTTTCCCTGAGATGAAGAGGAACTCGTACTCTCTGGTGCCATGGTAATGATAATAAATTAACACCATCAGAGCGATCGCACTGTTTCCTCGATGAGCCACGACGTTGTCCCACCGTTGAGAGTCTCTTGGCAAGTCGAGCAGTCCGCGGTGCATTAAATTCTCGAAGCCTGTCGTGCCCCCGGGCCACTGGCCAATCGACAGTGATTTATCGCCGAGAGTGGTTATAATTCGCGACAGAAGCGCGCAAGTGCTGCGGCGCAAATTTTCTCTAAAACGGTGAAAGTCGCCATCAATCGTGCCCGAGACTTTTATTACATTATAACAGACTTTTAAATATTATAAAATATTTTAAACAACGCTTTAAAATTGATTTCTAAGGTTCTTTCTATCTTCAGAACAGAGCTATAGGTTCATCAAATTACGAGATTCTCCCTGTGTACCTAACCCCGATTTATACTGAATTTAAAATTTTATCAATTTCATTGTATTTCCCCTTGGGTGGAAACGACGAGACTTACGGAAGCCTGGCGGTTAAAAGCAAGAAGTACTTCAGATATCCGTTGGCGGTCAAGTGGTTTGACAAGTTGTCGTGGCTGCAGTTGGCCAGCTTGTAAAGGCTGTTCAGACAAGTCACGAAGCTCGCGTGGAATCTGACCCCGTCCGTTTCGTTCGGTTCCGTGTTCTGTCGAACGAAGGAATAAAAGGGCCTTTGACGCTTGTAATTAAATATGTTGCATCGCGATCGAGACGGTCCAGTAACGCGACACCGATCTCGCGTCCCGTAACTTACTTTAACGTAAGGTATCAGAGTATTCATCGTCGCCTGGTAGATCATCTTCGTTAAGGATGCTCTGCTTTCCTGAACTTTGTCGAAAATTCCGCGGACGTTGCTGTCTACTTTACACAACCTGAGAACATCGATCTTTTGCAAACTTTGTCGACGAAGAGTTCGAAAATAAACTTGACTAGAAACAATAGACTTTGGTCACTCGAATCTCTAAATAATAGATTTTTCTTGAAAATTCTAACGAGTACTATTTGCAACCCTGGTTTGAAACATCCTATATGTAACTTTAAACTCAAAGTACACAGCCTCACCGAGCACCGGAAGCACAAACAGCACACAGTGCGTTTGCAGCAAGCGTAATCGAGGCATCGTCGTCGCTGTACTCGACAATATCTTTCATTAAGCTAAGAGCTTTGTGACAAATTTCGAATGCGCTGTCTTCCAACTCGTCTACGTCCACGTTTTCCAGAACGACATTCAGCACTGCAACAGCGGGAAATTTTAATTTCTTGTCCAACTTATCGTCCAAAATCAAAGACTTCAGGAGGCACAGAATTTGCCGTGGAACGCAAACCGCGTTCAGTTCCACGTTAAATTCTACTGCTCTGAAAATTCAATGTTCCAAAATATTTATAAACACTTAGATATGCTATAGAAATTTCTACATAGTTTAAAAAATAAAAACAAATGTCTAGTTCTGGTTATTTCGTTTAAAATAATAGAAAGACCTTCCAAAGACGTCTCGACAATTTTCATATTTAATTACCTGCATACTATATTGTGAATGGCTTGAATTAGTTTCTCTAATAATTGCGTCTCCTTGCACCGAGATTTGAAAACGCAAATTGCGACTTTCAAGATGGCGTCCATGGCATCCATGACCACGTGTTGTTCGTAAAACTTTTGATGGGCGCTTATCAAGCTCAAAAAGTCGAGAATACAACTATTAAAGTAACGGGAGTATGGTTGTTAGAAAAAGTTAGAACCTGCTATAGTGATTATTATTGAAACGTGAAACGTACGGGAGAAGACGATCGCTGGGAGTGTGAATAATTTCGAAAACCGTCGACAGCACATCGTACTTTATCAGCTTCGAAAGAACCTCCTCGCTGCCTGCAGCGCCACCACTTTTAAATAGGTTAGATATTCGCTCGACGCACGTAATCTGCAAAATTGTTCCTCTTCCTAATCTATCGCATCTAATATCTGTCCTAAATAACATTCTAACTTTCCTACCTAATCTAAATTCCAAAATGAGACTGTCTACGCAATATCACGAAACGAAAATTCAATGATTTTTATCGATAAATGAAAGTGTCAACGATTCAAAATTTCGTATTAACCTAGTACTTTCTAGCTTAATTTCGATTGACGTTCGTATTATTAATAACTGTAAATGTCTACACGATTTCGAAGACCTCGAAAATGAATAATTTTCAATAGTTGAAAACTTTCTTACGCGCGGCGTGTCCCGCCATAAGCTGAGCATTGTCGTTGACAAGTTCTTAACCTAATTTACGTACCTGTGCAGTCTCGTCTTGCAGCATCAGTCTCCGTTTCACGTTCGCCAGCATAATATCGATGTCCTCGAAGTAGAACTGAAACGTCGGCTCCATTCTCATAAAATATATCACTTTTCGCACAATGTACCGCGCACTAGCAACGACTATCAATCACGAGCAGGCGTCTGTTCGAAAAGTACGACGTGAGTCGTAAGTCGGAAGTGCACGCGCATGCGCAATGCTCGCCGCGACAATTCGAATCGTAAATGATTTGAATCCTCTCCTTAAATGTTTCGTACCAACAAGCATTACACAGTTATCTTGAAATTATTCGAAGTATGTTATTTGCAGCTAACAGGTAACATAAAAAACAATTATAACAAATGAATTTGAGCAGCGATTGTTCACGTCAATGGTTACTATATTTTATTTCAAACGTTGTTATAAATTATAATACAAATACAATAAGTATAATCGTAATATATTATAAATGTTAAACAATCCTGAGTAATTACTCTACATAAGAGATAATGAATCGTATTGTTATCGATTATTTTTCATTTTTTTTTCGCTTACTTCGACGCCGCCCACGACAGGTCGAGCGACACCGTCACCGGAACGAACCGCGACGACATATAATATAGAAATACAATAATAACATATAATATAAACAATCCACTTTCATATGGAAGGGGTTAATTTCTAGGCTATTTATACTTTGCTCCTTAAATTGAAATGTCATAAACTATACAGTATTAACATCAAAAAAATGATCGCGATCCGACAAAAAAAAAAAGAAAAACATTTACACGATGAGAGAATGCGGTAATACACAGTGCAACGTGACAACGCCGTAATATTCATATGTGCAGAATCTATACATAACAAGAGCGAAACAAGCGTAAAAATACTTTCTATCGATCATCGAACGAATTAACGAGACAGAAGAAAAAGGGAGGAGAATAGACAAAACAGAAAAACAATCGAAAGAAACAGAAAATGTTACGTTCCTGGTCCTTTCGTGTCCCCGCTTTAAACGACTTTACAAAACATCGAGTGACTTTACAAAACAAATAAGAAACAAAGGGAGCGAAGGAGAAACAAAGGTAGTCGCGATCAACGGTGGTCAACAAATGAAAAATGAAAAATGAAAATAGAAGCCTCCCTAAAAGACGAACTTTGAGCCTATCGTCGATTCAAATTAGCCCCCTCGTAGAGCCACAAGATGGCGAACGGATCTTGCAATTGTACGAAATCGATTTCAGAACTTAACACAGCGCAATTCGACAAACTCAACGATTTCGACGAACAGATTCGTTTGTACGTTTTCACACCGATACACGTACGCATTATAACGCGTTTTAACTATCACGACACCTGTATATATGACTTGTACGGCAACGTAGAACGCCTAATTCTGTCCTCTGATCTTTTTCGGGCCATATTTCCAGAGATTCCTGTACTCGGGACTCAAAAATAAACCATACACCGTTATCGATTTGATGCTACAAAATTTAGCTTTTCTTTGAGACATAAAAATAAGAAATGTATTAAGACGGATTTAATCAATTAAACAGTTTCTTACTATTTGCCCTGAAGAAATCAGTTGATTGGCGTTCTACTGTACTCTCTTCGCATCTGCAGCTTTTTTGGCCGTTTCTCGCTACCAGGGATAGTTTTCAGGAAATGTTTGTCGACCCTTCTGGTTACGAGGATAATTAGCAAATAGCCTAGTTGTGAATAAGTTTTCAATTGTGTTACCTATATATTGCTCCATCAGATCATAAGCAGAAAGATATTTACCACAGCTGAACCAAAAACAAATGACTGCTCGAAACCACTCGGCTACGTCTTCTGGTTACTTCTGATTGTTGTGGTCGGAAAAGGGATAGTGTCCTTCGATAACTAATGGATTTTACAGTAATAACAGAACCGATGGGTCTCCTGAGATCGCTATACCGGTACGAGAAACGACTGACAGTGAAATAATGCCCGAAAAAATGCGCGTCGCTCGCGAAAGTCGATCGAAAACGACTACTACTCGCACCTACGGAAAAATTCATGTATCAAAGTCTAAATGCATATCAAACGACGACCGTTTGGTGACACGGCAGCCTTGTAAACGTGCTTAGCAAAAGTTCCAAGTGATAAAAAGTCCCTTCGAAAACGGACAAACGTCCAATCGGATCCGCGATTTTTCACCGTGACGAATAACGTATCCATCGGGATCCCAGCCTCGTTCCGGCTATTGAATCATGTTTACTTGATAAACATGCTCAATATTGTCACGTGACGACGAGCTCGATCCCGTACGACCGTATCGATTAACGCGAAAATACGTCTCGCTCCATTCTACCGTCGAAACTCGATCGCTGTGGCAGTGACGAATGCTTGTGGATTATCTGTTGGAAAGGGTTACTCGTGTGGCTGTCGGCGTACGCTCGAAGACGCTATTTCAACAGGATGACGACTGAATTCGCGCAGAGACGAGCAAAATACTAAATACAATACAAATTCTAAGTTTTACTCGACGAGGAACGAATATTATTTGAGATATTTCTGGTCAAGAATTTTGCCCATCTTTGGAATCGTAGGTCTTCGACGCGCAAACGAGCAACCGGTTTTTAGCACCATACGAAAATCATCGCGAGTTTTCTACGAGCAGTAGAGTTTTCCGGAAGGTGGCGGCAGAATTCAGAGCTCGAAACGTTTCTTCCTCTCGGCGACCATGCCCACCGCTGGCAGTGGGGGGTGGAGCGGGTGATGGTAACTCGGTGTGGGTGTGGGAGGCAAGCTGCGACAACTCCTGCTGGACCACCTCACTGCTGGAGACCTCATCAGCTCTGCAAAGAGAGTCACGCAACGTTACGCGAGTTCAAACCCCCGGAATTTGGAGTCTACGCGCCCCTGAGTACTCTAAGCAAGCTTGGAAAGTCGCGACAGGTACCAACGAAACCGAGAATCCGAGAAAAATACGACTCGTCTAGGCATACGAGAAGAGGAAACGAAATTGAGTTCAAAGTTTGGCTTTCATGGTCCTCGATTCTCATATTATTTTCTTGTCAAATGAATGAAAATTCAAATTTTTTTTGTTTTTAATCCTCTTCTCGTCGGCAGAGAGCTGATATAGTAAACCCAGAGTTTCCCCAAAAGCTTTGGAAAAATAACGAAGCGCAGAAGCGGACGAAATGCGTGGCGAAACGACCGTGGACGAATTTCAGCGGTGATTTTATGAAACGTTCGCTAGATTCGCAAAGAATAGAAACGGACCTGCAACGGAGAGAGCTGGGGGTTCCGCGGTGAGGCGGGACGTGTGAGGATCGTCGGCACGGAGGCCGTAAGCCTCCGATTGTTGCTGCTTTTCAGTTTGCTTGTTGTCCTGCCACCGGGTACCAGAGCCGCCGACTCGCATCTCTGTTGTGCCACCTTTCGTATCAAATAATTGTCGAAATACGATTACCACGTCTGCCTTGATTCCGCTCAATGCTTTGTTTCTTACCCTTATTACAAATAGAGTTACGAATCGCTTTAGGAGGAAACGTGGTCTGTGTGCTTTCAGAGCAAGCTAAGGTAATTCCGGTCATTTTGTGTTTACCACCCTCTGTCAACCCCAATTTGAGAAAAAGTGATATTTATTATCTAATGTGTATGAACAGTCCCAACCACAGTCTTAACCTTTAGTTCAAGTTTTGAGAACAGGAATTACCCCAATTTACTCTACGCAGCGATCGAAAACTTTGAAAAAGAGACTCTGGTTGTTACAGTCGGATCGAAGTTAGTAACTCCGCTGCCGTCGGAGGCTATCAATTATTTTCTAGATGATATGAGGAGTAAAACAAGGGACTCGATTTCCTTACGCATCTAAGATGTTCCCAACAGTTAAGATATACTCGCATCGTTCGATGCTGATGCTCGGAAGTGCGCAGAAACGTTGGGATATGTAATGTTGTGATATATTTACTGTATGTTGTAAAAATAGGTTCCCGGTAAAAACGGTTCAAAAAGTTCTATCAGAATAGCGTATTTAAAAATGTGACGAGTCCGTGACATGGTTTCTGTTGGATTTCTGCGCACCGCCATTTCCGTGACGCGTCGACAAGTGTTTCGTATAGCAAATCAGCTAACGCGTTGATTAGACGATTAAGGAGTACAGAATCACATTCGTCACAAGGCAGGGGTTACTTTTGCGTTACTTTTGCATACCGTTAATAGTACATGTATCCAGTTAGCAAGTAGCCGGGTTAGACAACCTTCGAGTAGTACAATTATGCATATTATACTTAACAAACAGCGACTATTAGCAGCCATATCGATCCTTGACGGTCGATACTCTCGCCTAGGAAACTCGAACCGAGCGATCCGCGTCACATACAAACAAATTATCGCGCAACGATACGCTTACATGTCAATTCCGAATACGCGCAGTCCATTTAGTAAACGATCCAGACTGCGGATTTTATGCGTTCGTATTAAAATTATCCATCCAACAAGTGTATTCTATTAAACTTTTAGAAACAATTACACTATAATTCGATACACATGTTCTTCAAGATTTTTTATTTTAGCCTATTAAAATACCCCTCGAACATTTATCGTTCGATACGTAAAACAAAATAAAAGAATAACAAACGCAGAAAATCCGCAGGCCAACGATCGATGTCTTCGTAAGCGGTTAATTTCTAGACGAAAGCACCCGGTTAGTCTTACGTGTCTCCCCTTTTCTATTCCTTAACGCATAATCAACAAATCACAAAATAAGCTATCCCGATGCTCGCGTTCCCGATCACGTTGTTAGAGATAAACAGAGATCGTTCCCGTTGGCATGCCAGACCGCGGACGAAAGAGTGGCTTCGTCGAAACGAACGTTCCTCTAGAGTAGCATCGACAATAAAAAAAAAAAAGGAAAAAAAAAGCAACGAATCGTTTGACATTCGATGCAACGTACCCGCGAACAAATGCAACAGATACTTGAAAGGTTTTAGAGAAGCAGAGTCGTTCGAAGGGGATCGAAAACGCAATCCACCACCTGCTTTCGCGCGTTTCCGGTTCATCTTTCTTCTGTACCTTGATACTGATGGGGCAATCCGCTCCTGGGTCTTAAGCTGTCCCAAAGTGGCGAGGCCAGACCGTTACGCTCCTGACTCTTTTGCCCTAAGCTCACCTCTTTCCTATCGTGCGATGGAACGCCCGAACTACTCCCCGGCCTAACCAAGTTGCTCGAATAAGGCAACGAGACCGACTTTATTCGTTCAACCTTGTACGAGAACGCGGCTGGCTTGTCCGCCGCGGTCATTTGCGACGTGGACACCGAGCTTTTCGGCCGTTCGACGGTTAATCTCTGCTCCTCGCCCCCAGGTCTGATCAGAGGGTACTCGTGACTACTTCTGACACGCTGCGGCGAGTACGCCGGTGAGCAGTTCAGCGACGAAGTTTTCGACGCCGCGCCGAACGTGTCACGAAAGGCGTCCCCATGCTGTTAGTGAAATATCGAAAATAATATGCGTCAGTGCGGCCGATTTGGGCTGTTAACGGTCGTTAAATCGCTGCTGGGTGGGTCAATGGTGGACAATTACTATGGTATTCGCGAGGATCGAGCACCCTACCGATCCGGGTTTGAATACTTCTATTTGCAATTCTGGACGATTACTTGTTAATTGTGACTTGGACGAAGGTGGGGAGAGGAATCAGTGTTTACAGGATCAGATCTGAATCAAACTTGAACCATCATGGCAGTCGACGTGTTAACCCCTTGACGTATGATTTAATCATTTTTCAAACGTATACCATTTCACGAGAAGGAATGGATTTGTTTTACGAATACCGCGTGAATGGAAAAATGTGTTGATTTTAACCCCAACCCATACTATAACGAGCCTGACTCGTGATGAAGATTTTGGCCTAAACATGAATATATTTTACTTCAAATCAGTACGCCACAAGAGTTGGTCACGATTCTTATAATCTCTGTTACAAAGTAGTTTAGCATAAGTCTGATTTGTTAACCGCGCGTTGACGCCTACCATTTGGGTCCGGATTTTGTCGAGCTAAATGACACGGAAAGGGGTTAATATATAAGACTTGATGATGAGTGCGTAGTCTCATGATTGGCTATAAATTGTATGCAACGGCTTCAAAAGTAATTTTTCCTTCGATCAACAGAAATGTCAAACATGGAAAGATGAACGTATCTTATGTAAAGAATAGTGGAATTTGAGGGGTTAATTTTAACCTTGTAAAGCGAGTTTGAACAATAAAAAATATTACTTATTACGTACCTGGGTGTGCCTTAATTTTTCGAAATTCTGGGAATCCCTTGTTAGGGATCCTCGAACCAATTTCTGTTCCTGACAAATGCTAATGTTAGCGAATCCTTATTTTCTTCTTGACGTTCACGAATATAGACAAGGGAATGGAAGGTTTATTGATGTAATTTTTAAGGTATATAATTATTAATAATGCTGCACAAGAAGCCACACTGGAACACCTCGTTCAAAACCAGATTCGATTTTTGATATTTGGTACTTGAGGAAGACATAAAGGACGTATCGTAATCAGGGAAGTTATACGTCAGCAAAATAGACTTTCTTCTTACCCGTACGTGTACCCAAACTCCAGAGCGGTAGTGTAGGTACAGTAAAACCTCCATGGCCACTGATATCGTCGAGTAATTGCAAATGGCTACTATTACGGGTTATTGTATTAAACCTCGACTGATAGGACGATATATATTTTACCTGATCAAAGTGATTGTGCTGTACATCTGTGCAACAACTAGCGATGGGACGAGTTCAACAACAATTTTCGAACACTGTATTAACTATACTTGTCACCACGATTGGGCACTATCAGTCCCATCAGTAGCTATTGCAAAAAGTGCGTGTCCGATCAGTAGAGGATCAAAAACGTATGAAGCTTGCGAACACAAAAGCTTTGCTGTACCTAAGTGCGTCTCTAGCTGATGTTATCGTTTATTTACAATTGCGTCAGTCGGGTACCGCGTTCTAAAAGCGTAAAGATTCACTTTAAACGGGCAAACGGTAACGACCAGGTCCTCGACGCTGGCGAAAAGCTCGTAAGGGGAACACCATGATATACGTAATTGCGGGCGAGAGTTAATCAATTTAGTAATGTACATTTTGTTAACCACGAATCTACATTGCGACCGGATCTCGGGTTTCTATCGTTACCTTCAGCTGTTGGAGTCTGTGGATCTCCTCTCTGGGCTCGGGTATCTCATTGGCCCTCAGCAGCTGCATCGCATCCATGGAGGTGTCGTTGGTCTCCAACACCAAATGTGCCCTGAGCTGTTTGTTGCGGGCGTCCAGTTGCATGATGTGCTGTTGCGCTTGAGCGAGCTGCTTGGTCAAGGAGCCCACTTTCTCCTCCATGGCCGCGGTCTCCACGCACTTGGAGGAATACTTGGCGGACAACGATAGAATTTCCTGCTTGATCTCTTCCATTTCCTCCCTGCGAATCGTTACACGTGTTCTTTAATATATCGTCGATTTACCGAGAGCAAACGAAACGGAGAATCGCTTACTCGTGCTCCTTGTGAAGCACACCGATGTCCTCGCGAGCCTGCATCTGCTTGAGGAACTCCTGCTTGAACTTGGCGATTTCCTTCTGCACCTCATGCTCGTGGGCCTTCCTCATGGCGTCCAGGGCCGCCAGAGTGGCCTGGGTCTCCTCCGAGAGCGCCTGTTCCTTCTCCACCCTGAGGTTCTCCAGCTCCTGTCGGTGTTTCTCCTCCATCTCAGAGATGGTGCGTCTGTGGGAGTTCTCCATCGCCAGCAACCCTTTCTCGCACAAAGCTCTCAGCTGCTTGATCTCCTCCTTATACCTCTTTCGCGTCTCCGCGTCGGTGTCCAGCTCTGCGCTCATCGATCTCTGATAAGCAGCTCTCAGCTCGTTCACGTGAGCCGAGTGTTCGGAGTCCATCGCGTTCAGTCTGTGCTCCAGCTTCCTGGCCTTCTCCCTCAGACTCGCCGCCTCTTGTTCGTACTGAGATGTCAACGACTGCCTCTGACTGTCCAGTTCGCCTTTCACGTCCATCATGTCCCTCTCCTGGTTGCGCTTGAGCGTCTCCAGCTCGTCGTTGTGCTCGGCGGTTATCCTCTGGATGGTTTCCTGCAGCTGGTCGCACTGCTTGCAGGACAGGCTGTTCATGTAGTCGCCCAGCTTCTTGATCTGCTCGCGTAGCTGAGAGCATTTCTCGCAGACGGTCGACCAGTCGGTCGCGGAAGTCGCCGACTTGGACCAGACGACGCCCTCGACGGCGTCCTTCTCCCTCAAACGTTTCCCCAGCTCGGTGAGGTCCTCCTCCAGACAGAGTAGACTCTGGCTGACGCTCTTCAGTTGCTCCTTCGAGCCCTGCTTTCCGGATATCCTCTCCTCGCACTCCTTGCCGAACTGCTGGTAAAGGTAACTGTACTCCGCGTCGAGGATCGGATCGCTTTGGAACTCGTGCTCATCCCCCAACAGGCACGATAGAAGGTCGTCATTTCGGATAAGACTAGATACGAACGTCTCACCAGGGAAGGCAGCCAACTGTCTGTTGTTCTCCTGAAGAAGGCCGATCCTGGCATCGATTAAAGCTTTGTGCGCGACCACGTCCGCGTAATCCGTCAGAAGCTGCCTGGACTCGTACTTGGCCTCTATCGACGTTTTGTTCTTCTTCATCAGACGAAGGCACTCCTCGTACGCGTCGGACAGCTCGCGGGTGGAGAGCTCCATCTCCTGACGCAGCCTCGTCTGCGTTCCGTCGATCCAGGACTCCAGCGTCACGCTTTCCGTGCCCTCGAAATTGAGGCAAGCGTCGGTGATACTCGTGACGTTCTGCTCGTACATCTGACCGCAACGCATGATGACGTGAGACACCTCGGCCTGCACGAGCTCCTTGCTGACTGTCTCCTGGGCCAACGCCCACGCCTCGCGGATGTGTCGATCCTCCAGCAGCTTTTTGCTCGAGCCTTGCACCTGCTTCCCGAGGTCCTCCTGGTCGGACATGCTAAGCGTCTCCGCGGCCAGTGCCTCCGCGAGCTGCCTGAGCTTCGTCTCCTTGTATCGTCGCATCACCTCGTTCACCTCCCGCTGCTTCTGCAGCAGAAAATTCAGGCTCTCGGCCCGCGCGGCGGCCACCTCCTTCGTCGTCGTCTCCGTCGCCGGTATACCGCCTACCAGCACTAACTTATTCGCTAACACTTTAGTAAGATACTGAATGTAACTCGTGTTTTGGTACGTTTTGGGCTTGGTTCCGTGAATCTTACGCATTAGGCTTGAGGCAAGCTGACTAGTTTCGACCAATTCACTCAGAACGGCGCTCCTGTCGAACGACCGGCCGATCGCGCACTTGATCTGCCTCAGAACGACGAACTCGAACGCCACCCTCTCGGCGATCAGCTTCGTCTTCTCCCTATCGTCCAACTGATTGTTCTGCGCTAGGGTCTGCCGTCTCGCCGCGAGCTCGCTCAGCTTATCCTTAAGTATAGTTTCTAGTCTAGATACCACTACTCCTACTGACTCGGTCGCTTGAGCGCTAGCTTGGCTTTTCTTACATTCTAAACACGAGTCCAGGATGTCGTTCACCTCGCGCAAACACTTCTCCGCCTTGTCCTCCGCCTGGGTGGACCCCAGACACTTCTCCAGCCTCCTCTTTGACTTCGAGACCACTCTCTCCAGTTTCCTCAACCTGGCGATGATCTCCAGCGACACCTCGCTGGTGGAGGACACGCTGACCTCGCTGCACTCGCTGGAGTCCTTCTCCGCGTCGCTGGCCATGTTCTCGGTAACGTTCGCGACCTTAGTCTCCAGCGTGCTCAGTCTGATCAGCACCTTCATCGGCTCGGAGCTCGTCGCGCTGTCCAGCGACTTCCTACGCAGTCTGGCGCGGTCCAGATTCTTGCTCTCCCTCCTCTTCTCTTTCTTTGGATTGGGACTTGATTCCTTCGAACCGATGCCGGACGAGACCACCGCGGTGATGCTCTTGCCGCGTTCTATCGCGCAGATCTTGTTCTCCAGGTCCAGCAACTTGTCCTCCATCTCCTGGGAGATCTGGAAGGACTCGCGACCTTTCAGCGACAGCGATCGCCTCTTGTCTCTGGTCTCCGCCTTCGTCAGCTTCTGCTTCAGCGTCTTGACCTGCTTCTCGCTGGTCGCCAACTTGTTCGTCAGGTCTTGGATCCTCGCCGCCATCAGCTGGACCTGGGCCTGGTTGGTCTCGTTCACGTTAACCGCGTCTTGCTTGTGCGCGAACATCTCCAGCTCCAGCGCGTCCTGCATCGCGTGAGCCTCGCGAAGCTCCTTCCGCATTGCGCGGATCTCTAGGATTGCCTTCTCGAACCGACTTCGTAGCTCGTCGTACTCCTCCATGATTCTGCGAACGAAGATCGCGAATTTAATAACATACGGAACTTAATACTTATTATAAGCGTACCTTTCTTTATCGAGAGAAGTCAAGTCCAGGTCTAGTTCGATGTTCGTCAAGTCGCTGAGCGAGTCAAAGCTCCTCCCACGCTCCCTCGAGGCGGACAGTCCACCCTTCTCTTCCAGATCTCTAACCTTCCCGTACAAACGCTCGTTTTCTTCGATTCCTGGATCCGACAAAACCCGATAATAGCATCTGTAATATATCTAACCTAGTTTTTTGAACTCACCTTGCGATAGTCTGTCGCTCAAGGAAGCTATCTCCGTCTGCAGGTGTTCGACGGTCCTGTGACTCGAGGCGAGCTCCTTGGTCAGCATCTCGCACCTCTCGCTGGTCTCCCTGAGGATCGCCTCCATCTCCAAGAGCTTGCACTCGAGCATTTCCTTGTCCCTCGCGTACATCTTCTTCATCTTCTCCAGATCGTCCAGGTCCTTGTCTCTCTGTTGCTCCGTCCTCTGGATGGTGCCTAGCAGCTCTTCCACCTGCTTCTCTCTGATGGAAGCCTCGGCCTTCTGCTGCCTCAGTCTGGACAGCTCCTTCTCGGCGTTCGCGACGTCCGCCCGCGCTGCGTTCAACTGTGACTTCAAGCTCTCGATCTCGTTCTCCTGACGCTCGATAATGACTAGTAGCGTACTCGGATGGGACTGATTCTGGTCCAGCTGGTCGCGCAACAGGGACACCTGGTTCTCCAACAGTTCGACGATCAACGGGCTGTCGTTGGCGCTCGACAGACAGCTGTTGCTCTGCAGATGACCGTTGGACTGCTCCTCGTCCTCGCCTAGCTCACAGCAGGCCATCATGAGATCCTCGGACCTCACGCTGTCCAGGGTGCTCCTTCTCGAGCTGGGCGGCGAGCTGCGACTTCTCTTGTACACCCTGGACCTGGAACTCGACCTCGAGCGCGCCTTCACCCTCGACAACGCGGTTCTGGTCAACGGTGGCGACGGTGGTAGCTCGGACCACTCGTGGGTGGCCGAGTCGGACCAGCTGGAACCTTTCAGCGCGCTGGACCAGTCGCCGTTCCTCACCAACGGTGGCGAGACTGGGACTTCCGACCAATCGCCAGACTCCCGTCTTCCACCCTCCGACGCTGTTCTGTACTCCTCGTCGGAGGAGAACAGGACCGATCGCGGAGTCACGGACGTCGAGGGTACCACGGAATCCCTCTCGCGATCTGTGATCGACCTGGGGAGCAGAGATGGACTTGGAGTCGAAGCAAACGTAGGTACTGAAATCTAATATAGGTGTCGTAGGATATTATTATATAATAAGTGTGTAAATAAGAACGAATGATCGGTTGAATGTTGTTTGGGCTTCGGTGAGTTGAGCAAGCTAATGAAATGAGAGACGTTTTGGCAGAGTTAGAGAGAGTCGAAAAGTCGTTAGAGTTGAGAATATTAAGAGTCGTTTGAAAGAGTCGTGAGTTGAGAGTTTTTAAAGTCGAAAAGTTGTTTTCCTGCAAATCCTACAGTATTAAAGTCTAGTTTGCGATGGTCTTACGCGGTAGGCGACTGTGGGGTGTTGTCCTGCTGTGTGTCCTGGCAGACGGCGAGGGCGTCGGCGTTGCTGTCGGGATCGGGAAGATTGGCGGCCCTCCTGATGGCGGACATCCAACAGGCCCTGATGCCAGCGGTGACCGCGGACAGTACGGTGGATCCCCGGTCGTCCCAGGCCTGGGAGAGAAGTAAGAGAATTAACCGTCGAGAATGTAACAAGACGGAAACGCCATTGTCTATCTAGGCCGATCAGCGGGACAGTCGGACGACAGGAATCGGTGACACGAATAGGAGAAGAGCCGCGAACGTCCGACTTGTTCTACCGTGAAATTGAGTTACCGACTTTTTCCAGCCACTCCTAAGCACGGAAGTTAATTCCGGCGATCCAATTGAACCGCGAGCCCGCTGGCTGATTCACGGTAGAGGTAACTATAGCTCTCGCGGACAGTTACAACGCTGCCTACTCCGGATCCTTGTTAACTCTTTGCTCGGTTGACCATCTAGAAAATCTACGCTCCAGTCCGATGACCGCTTCCATCGCTTTGGTTATTCTTCTGGTTAAATTTTTCTATTCGAAAGGGTTTTTATCGAGAATATGTCTTGCAAAGAAGTTCCATAACCAAAGATTTAATGGTTTAGGTGACTTGTATAACAGCGTATAATTACATGTTAGTTTCTGTAAGATTAGGTTCTTGCAGGTTTTAGTTAACACATCGGTAGAAGAAATTCCAAATGTACGAATAATTAACAATCCTTTCCCGGAGCCAACCGACGCGGCCCGCTGATTAATCCTTCCGCCGAGATTCGCGGACAATGTAGACCGAGACTAGTTTGCATCGCACGTGTTTTCATTGCGCGAGAGAACAGCTCCTCCCGTAAGGCCTAACTGGATTTCCGTCCGCGTGGAATGTTAATTACTGTAAATCACCGGCCAAGCGAATTCTCCAGTCACACTCACCACAGTCTGGAATCCATAATTTCTTGCGACTTGAAGGGGCGTGACGGCAGTAACGGTATTCAGATCTATGACGCCGTCCATGATACCCTTATCTTCCGCGCAGGGATCTCTGTAGTACATGAGGCCGCAGCCTCTTAGTACGAACCAGTGCTTGTTCCATTCCTGAGCAACGTTCGATTCGTTAATCGGACCGGTCGTGAGAACGGGAAACGAAAAATGGCAGCCTGAACGAACCTTGTTGAGACCCTGCTTCATCAGCCAGCCCTTCTTGATGTTCAGCAAATCCTCCGCGGGCAGATCGACCCTCAACTCGGAAGTGGGGGAGTACCGGATGCCGGAAATGTCCAGCCCGCATCCGTCGGGGTCTCCTCTGATCTGTACGGAATTATTATTGTTAATATCGAACGCGAAATCTGTGCGTTTGCGATTCCTTAGAAGATCCAAGAGAATTTAAACAAAATTAAATAGTGTAGATTTGAAAAATTATATGGAATTAAATCGTAAGTCCAAGGGTTTAATATTAATATTCGTAAATGCTCACGAGCTTGTCCTGATACGCGGCGTTTACAGCGTCGACGACGTCTCTGGTGGGTTCGGAGGTCCTTGGTTTGATCCTTCGAGCACGAGGCTGGGTCAAGGAGGCCGCGATGTCCCGCAGCTTGCCCTCCCTCTCCCTCTCGTGCTCCAGCAGGATTCTTCGACAGGCGTCGTCGTCTGAAGCAACAGGGATTTTATTGTCACCGAGCCACGGTGAAGCTTGAAAAGAAGTCTATCGTTCCGTTAACCTTGACAAAACAAAGACCAGCGTCGAAGAAAGCGTCGTTTCATAATTCTCGTGTTCTCCGCGCGCGGTAATTATCTCAAACGGTATATTTATAGATACTTTGCGCGGTAAAAATGCCTGACCGTCGAAGGTGCACCGCGCCGCGGCGATTTCATAGAAACGACTGTTAAACATGCACGATGGAGGGCGTTCCCCGAAGAAAAACACCGAGATTGCCGCGAACACGGAAGACGTAGCACCGTAATGGCGTAGCGCATTATAATTGCGACGGCGAGAAAGTCGCCGCGGAATAACAGCAACCAAGTGCAACATCGACACGCGCGCCTGACGATGGCACGCTAGTTGTTATCAAACATTCGTCTCGCTGCGTCGCCGGCTTAACCAATTAACTTCTTTTCCATCCGAGTGGAACCTACGCCCGGCGCGGCGATCCCAGCACGCCCCGGCGACCACTCCGTTAATTGACTGCCGACTAATTAATAACCGGAGGGCCCCCGTTCGCCGTCGCGTCGGCGAGAGGCCTTATCTCCCTCGTTTATCCGCGTTTTTATCGATCCTCCATCGAAAATCTAACCGCCATTACTATGCTAATGACGATTTCCCGTAACACGTCGGGGAACGCCCGATCTTCGCCGTGATCGACAATGGACTTCCCGTTTCACGGATCGAGCTTGCGTCAAGGGGGGATTCTCGCGTAGCAAAAAAAATCAATTTTTTTTTGTTTCCTAAAATTTTAAAGTCGAATTCGAAAAAATAACAAAGAACAAGTGATCAACGATAAGTGAGTTTATAAAACGCAACACTTAGAATTGATGAAGATCGTGATAATCTAAACATATTATGGCATCGTTGTTTATCTTCGAAGACTGCTACAGTGTTCAGAACTCGTTGTTCTTTCATAAAATTTCAAACACTGGTTGCTTCTTCCCTTTCGTGCTGAATTAGCCCTTTGACTCGCTTTTATTTCCGGTTGACGTACAACTCGGACGAGTATCGGTGCTCGATAACTTTCTAACCCGTGGCCGGGGCAGCAGCCGTTCGTTTCGACTGCGAGAGGAATTCTCCCGGCGCTATTACACCTCCCTTTCCTACGTCGTTGCGTAATTGCGTGCGTACAATCTCCGAGAAAATCTGCCGGCACTACGGTGCGCCATGATCTCTGCTCTCCCGGTCTGATCCGTAGATTTCATTTAGATTGGCGTCCGACGAACGACCAGCAACGCGACGCTGGCCATCCACCCAACGATCCACCGCGATTTACGGCGAACGCTGATTGCCCAAAGATACCTCCCCGCTTCGTAAATAATTCAACCTTCTTCTTTCTCGCAGAATTATTCGGGCAAATGCCTCACAAGACTCTAGATGGCTTGCATTTTCACTAATAAATTTGCGTATTCTTATTAGACTACAGAAATATATTTGAGACAACACTCTACAAAGCACCTCTTTCATTAATTCTATTAACCCTTTGCACTCGGAGACTTTTCTTCGACCACCTGCTACTAACTCACACACTTTCTTACGAAATAGATAGTAAACATCCAAGTAAATTTTGTCCATTCTCCGCTTATGTATTTTGTCACTTTAAAACAATGATATCGTTGTGTTCTCTTAGAGGTGTGGCGTCGCCTCCCATGCTCGCCGCCAGAGGGGTCGCGCTCTCATAAGCGCTCGACCAACCCCTCGGTTGCTATCGGCGGCAGGGCCTGCTAGAAAGCCTTACTGATGAGTCCATTAGCAGGCCCAGACGAAACGCGCCCCCTCCTTTCCTTTTCTGCCTCCTACGAAAATTTCCCGAGTTTCTACCCGCAACGAAGCAGCGCCACAGAGGGTACATCCAAATTCTTTGCTGGACGTCCCTTCAGAGGGGGCAGCCCAGTGCAAGGGGTTAATATATCTAAAGGGCTCGTACTTTTCATAGTAAATAATCATAATAACGATGTAAAGTAAAGGTCCGGCAGTAAGTTGCTTTCAACCCTGAATGATATTCGCGAAAGGAAAGAATAAAAATTTTAGTTTGAACGGTGTCTAATTATTGTGTACAGCAGTACAGTGTCTTCTTTTCATCCATTATTTTATGCTCGCAAAAACGTAAACGCGTTTTCGGGTCAACCAGTGAATTATTAGCGCGTGTATCGATCAGATTTCTTTGCCAGCGAAAGGGAAACGAGTAACACTTCCTAGTACAATCATTTCGAAAATTATGTATCTCCGTTAGAGCAGGGAAACCGTAAAATTTCATTCGGAATCCAACGATAGGTGTATTAAATCAACCGAACAAGGGGAGAAAACGTTGGCGAGCTCGCCGGGGCGAATCATATCGCGATTAAAGGCTCGTAGCTCACTAGAAACGACAAGCTGACTTATCGCCGATTGGAAAGCACGTACGAGATACCCGGTGGTGGGAACGCCGCAGTAGAAAACCCCCTTTGGATTTAATTGGAATCCCCTATCGGAGTCGAACGAGCAGACGCTGGTAACGGCCGTTGATTAATTTCAGCCGCAACGAATCTCATGGTGGTAATGACAGAGACACTCTGCTTAGGAGTTACCGAGATTCAACCACAAGATGAACGTTTCCCCTGGCGATTAAATTATATCACTCTTATTCCCATCAACTGGTCGCCGTTTAGAGCGCTCGCCGAGGATTACAGAGTCGCGTAACCGTGGCTCTCGATGAATTCGTTTCTGTGGTTTAACGACTAGACTCACTCGTAACGAGCTTGCAACTTACTGGAAACGAGATTGCAATTCTAAAACACATTATTCCGGTTCTTCTTTAGAACGTTGTAAGAGGAAATTGTAGCACGACGGATATATCATATGTCAAACACAGTTGCAATACGGATCTCGCTGAATTAGTTTTCCAAGTGCGTGATGAGTTAATAACATCGAAGTAGACAAGATCGAAACGTTGCAACTATAACTGGGAGTTTTCGCGGTCGATTTGGGAACAAGGTTCGTCTCACTTCGTCTCAAGGTTCGGAACAAGCACCAGAGGATGAAAGGATCGTTGATTAAATGAGTGTTATTTGTATCCACTGGTTGCTTTTCCAAACGGTGGAGGAAGTTGCAACTCGGAGCGCCGTCAGAAGTTGAACACGTGTTCGGTAAAGGACTTGATTAATCGACTCCTAGGATCAAACAAGTTAACAACATCGACGGTAGATAGGGACGACACGAGCCGCCTGTGACGTATCGCGAATACAATTTGAAAATTTCATTAAGCAGTGAATATTTCCTAGGGTTATTAATCTTTCGAGCATTAAACGTCTCGTACGGATTATCTTTCGGAAGAAGAGCTTGTAACTCGTTAACAGGTTCGACGAATGGACGATTCCATAGGTCTGACGAGTCAATAACTTCCCAATTGGACGGGACGTAATTTTAATTGGTACCTGAATCAGTATGAAAACCAGCTGGATGTTCGCACGGATAGTTCCCCGGCTCCATTGGCGCGCTAACTGTTTTGTTTATACCGTCAATTGTCACGGGGAAATGGGTCAGGTACGATTTAACGCGGGGCCGCAAATCATCGTCGCCGCTGCAACGACCCAGTTTCCCCTACCAATTGAACGCGATACCATTGTTGCCGTAGAACCGAATCGTGTTACCAGATCTTGTTGCAAACTAATTTCTCTCGAATGGTAGCGCGATAAAATTTCTATTCGAACGTCCGGGCAATAAATCGTCGCTATTAAGTGAAACTTAAAATCGATTTAGAATGTATCTAAAATGTAGTACGTCGACCGATCTTCATGGGAACGCGGACTACGATTCACAATTATTACAAACCTCTTTGGTGAACGATGCGTTGGCCTACACGATTTTACGCTGCTAATAACTGTACGCTTCAATATTTATTAATTCGAACAGTAACTTGCTCTGATCTACTTCTAGAGAGAGGCTCGACGAACACTGAAATTTTATTAAAAACTATTTCACAATTATTCTAAATTCTCGATAGCGACAGACTAAAATCAAAACTTGTATCACGTGGAAATTTGAATCCTCCATGCCCCTATAGATCTGTGATTGTACTATGTCTAGTGATCTGTTCAAATTCTATACCAAAGTTTAACCAAAGTTTAACTAAAGTTTCAGTTGACTATTATAATAATATTATTTGTTTTGTTGTTTTATATTGATTTCTAATATTGTTAAATTATAAATAAAGCAGTATAGAAGGGATAAAATATTTTTTTAATGATTTAAAAATAATTTTAAGTGTCTAATTCTAGGAAACCTCCCCCCATTCTGAAATACTGTCTCTCGTATGACATTTAGTAAGAAAGAAGTCCTGCATTACTTATGCCAAAAAGCCACTAGTTTACAAAATATTTAATAATTTAGAAGCTTCAATATCTACGTTGAAGTATTAAAAAATATATGGTTTCATTTAAGAAAAATTACAGCAGACAATGCGTCTATTTTCTAAAAATTTTAATACGAGGAACTCCCCCCACAAATTTTTGATGGAAATTTAAATTCGGTAAATAAAAATCTTGACGATGCATTCTACTGACCCAGTTTCTCGCTGGGACAGGCAGGCCCAGTGTCGATGGTGGTCCGTTCGCCGTGCTGATTCATCCTGCGTCTGGCCTTGTCCTCGGCCCTCAGCTTGTCCCTGGTGGGTGGCGAGGCGCTGCTGGCCGGCTGATCCCTGTAGCTGGATCTGCCCTCGCTGGGTACGATCGGTGGTTTCTCCGTCAGAGAGGAGGACGTGGACATCGTGGTGGACGAGACGCTGGTCGAGGCCGTGGAGTGAACAGTGCTGACGACGCTCCCGTTCATGGAGGACGTCGAGGGGCTCAGGTAGCTGGTGCTACCGTTCTCCAGGGGCGTGCTGCTCCTCAGAGGCGACACGTTGCTGGTTTCTGCGTTCCCGTTGCTCATCGCGGGGCTGCTGGACGTCGTCACCACGCTGCTGGTCACCAGGGACGGCGACGACGAGAACACGGAAGGGCAAAGGTCGCTCGAGACGCTGGTCTCCGGGATCCACGCGCTGCTGCGTGGCTCCGAGCGACAGCTGTTGAAACGCGGTCGCGGAGGATTCGGGGTGTTGCCTGAAATCATTTATTTATCAATTTATCGGTCAGTCTTTATTAGTTTGAAATAAGTCTAATTCGTTTATAATTGTTAATTAGGTCTTGCGTCTAGATTTTTTCAGACGAGACACGGTAGAGGACGATGTTAGATACACTGTTAGAATCAATGAGATATGACGCATGAATGAACCAGTGTAGATCATTGTGACCTCGTTCCAGCAGTCGAGGGTTAATTGGCCAGCGGCATTCACTGAGAGTATTAGCCTACAAGAGGAATCTGTCAATGGCCTGAATAGCTCAATTGCCCGGCGATTCTTCGCCACGAATTCAATTTCGATCGAATTTACGGACTCAACGCGTCTTTCAACGAGCGGAACATCGCTGGATTCGGAGTTTCAAAATTTATTTCTCATTAACTGGACGTTGATAGAATTATTTATAGGGCGCCGGGCCCGCTGATAACCATTTTTTCCTTCTGGTAATCGATTCATCGAGCGTAGCAAGAGCGAACGTTCGCGCACAGAGTCATCGATTTAACTGTCACTCGACGAGACGTTACGTCATAAATCCATTCAAAGTGCAGCCTTTGGCCGGTCGTTCGAGAATTATCGCTCGCATAAGTGACAGGGACAGTAGACTTTAATGGCGCAAGAATTACTTACTTCTGATGGTCGGGGTGACCTGAAGAATGGTCGTCTGTCCGCCGGGGAACGTCGCGTTCCGCTTGTGTCGACCCTGGAACATTTCGAAAAAATATTCACTCTCGTTCGTTCGGTACAAACCGATTTACCTAACGTGTTATTAGGGCGTCCCACAAAATGTTACGCTTCCCGTTACGGTCCGAATTATTCTATTAAAAGAATCTTCCCTTTCGCAAAAAACGATCGACAGATTGAAGTGTCAGAGCGGATCCACGTTTCTAATTCGTCGTTTCGCGTGCACATCTAGATGGAAATTAAATTAAATTCCGAATAACTATAACAGAAGGTGGACAAACTTCTCGGCAAAATTAAAAAATTTCAAATCAATCTGGAAAAATTTTTTTTAGTTGCAGAGGTCGATTACAATCATTTTTTGTGGATAGACATACCCCCGAAATCCTACGCACTTTCGAGAAAAAAAATTCCTAATCGAATATACATATAATGCCTGACCCTGTCCGATTTCCCTGAAATGTTTAAAGCGTTATAACTCTTGAACGGATTGGATGATTTTAATGTTTCAAAAGACAAACAACGCGTATTTTAATGAAGAATATATAGAGATTCTAACAATATTCGAAAAGTTGTTCCTTAACCCCGTGAAGTGAGAAAACCCCCATCAAAGTGGCCATAACTCCTACAATAGCGAACGTATCTCGTTGAAATTTAAACAAAATTAAATCGTATACGTTTGAAAAATTATTCGGAATTAGATCGTGCGTCAAGGAGTTAACAAAGAGCAAAATTAACGTTTCGTTACGGGTCTGTACCTTAAAATATCGAAGAAGGCGAAAAATGGATTCCTGAAATAAATCCTGAGACGGAGGTCGCGGATTTCGATTAAAAATGGTGGTCGTTATCTTCTCGCGGGTTGCATCGACGACGTCGCGACTCGAGGACGGAATGCCGTAGAATTTCTACGTGGGCGACAGTACGCGGCCACGCATACGCGCGACCAGGTCGCGGTAGGCGGCCGTAATAATGCCAGATAAGAGTAACACTGATAATATTCCGCGAAGGTGCTCTTCCCGGCGTGCATAATTCATAAGACCGCGGGTCCGTGTAGCGGACGATGCCGAACAAACGCGAACACGAACGATTCAATCGACCGTAGCCAAGCCTGATAGCCATAAACGCTCGATCTTCTCGTCAGTGGAAGGTGATTTCGACGGAACTGCGGACGATAGCGCTTCTGCCCATAATAACGCTCGATCCGTCAACGAAAGTAGATCGTAATAGTTCCGGAATAAAATGTCCATCTAGAATGCGACTCGACTCGCTACGATCGCTCTGGAGAAGCAACGCCCAGAGAGTCCGAGAATTCTCGACGCGTGTAAAGGTAATGGGGTTGCAAAACGCTGTATATTTTAAGTAAATCCATTGGAGTATGCTAGTATACTAATATACGACTCGAGGATCGAATTTGCAAAAATAATATTTTTGACATTTTGTGTTGCAAGTACACATTTATTGTTTTCGTAAAAATCGAAGGAAGGTGTCCAATTTGGAGAGAAATGATCGATTCGAACGAGCATCGGTTCGTGGTACGACGAGGCGTATATCCAGCCTGTTCGACGCATTGTTCGAAGGATCGCCAGCCGCGTTCTGTCGATTCCGTTACGCAAGGAATGATCGATCGGTAAATGGAAACACCTCGTCGTCGCCGGTGGACCTGCCCGGTGCAAACGTACGATTACGTTACGAGGCCAAGGCGACGCGTACGTACGCCAACACGTAAATACGCGAGCACGAGAATGGAGAACGCGCAGGAAACGGGGGGAGCCTCCATTTCATTTTTCTTATTTTTTATTTTCATCGCAAACCTGCCCGTGGACGCGCGAAACAAAGTGGCGATCGTTGCATTCCCGCGACGAACAGACACCTGTCGCCCGTCCAATACTGTTCTAACGCGATTAATTAACTCGTTAATTACGAAACGATTCGACGTCTGGTTGAGAGACCGTTTACACGGCGTACAGTTTCTCTTCTCTTACAAACTTTCTTTCTATCGAGTACCATAGATAATTGATATTAGTTCTGTAAAATCTCTGAACGGAATATCAAGATTGCGGTGTACTTGTTATCTATTGATTTGAACTTGAAAAAAGGGTTAGATGAGGAACTACTGTATCTTGCACGTTTCTTAGCACCTAAATTTGGACGAAGCGTGGAGGAACGAGTACTCGACGGCGTTTAGATTCTCGTTGATATGCCTGACCCTAGATTACGGGTGAGCAAAGAGCGTGAGTGGTCCGTATAAGGACGGTACGAGGTTTACAAACGTCGAGTTCGCCAGGCAGGGTTAATTCCCGCGAGTCGCGGTGGAAAGGCGAGCAAAGAAGAAACGGGCTCGGCAAAAGTGCGATAATGCTCGATCATTAGCGCGAGCTGTCGCGGCGTCACGCTCGTTACCGCTCGAAATAATGCGAGTTGCGGCCGTGCAGAACCGCGTCCACCGATCGGCGCTTTTCTGCGATTCACCCGGTCGTTCCGCGCGCCTCAAAGGGCTCCTTTCCCCGCCTGGTTCTTCTGATCGTTTCTTTTTTCGCCACACGGTGGCTGGAATAGAGCCGATTATGCGGGCGACGCGGGGACCAAGAGAAACAGGGACAATGAACGCTCCAGCGACTCGTACCGCGTTCGTTAATCCCCCTGGGACGATTCAATTCGATTTCAGAGCGATTCACTCGATCTGACAGGCATTCAGCCTCACGAGGATTAGCTTTGTACCGGGGCGTTTGTATTTCAATTAATTTTAATTGAACCACTAGCCTACTAGGCGCGGACGACCTCTAGCTCGATCTCTCGTCTACAAGATCCCTTCGATTTTACAAATTTTGAAATCCATATTAAACCTAACTGCTTTCTACTTCACTTTGGTGGGCTTTTCCCTCTTTTGGGGGTCATTTGAATCTGCAGGACCTTCAAATGTACAGAAGAGTCTTGTTTCAAATTCGTTCAGCTATAGAGTCCATAATTATATACCGATTTATTTTACTATCACTGTAGATGCTAATTCCATAACGTATATTCTTGAATAAAGCGTATTAAGGGGCCATTCTACTTTGTAGGCACGAAAAATACATGTTACTTTGTGATTTTTTTGTGGGCTATTAAAAAGTGATTAATTCCGAGTTTTGTGGATACATTTATTATATATATTTATATATATATATTATATATATAACTATATTTACGAATTTTTACAATGCATAATATCTATGGATTACGCTGTTTTTGTTGATCAACGAACAACAGTTTTTACGAACGGCGTCCGACTGCGTATGTGATATCTTGCGAACAAGTTGTCCGAAATCCAAAAACCAACGATATTCTTAATATAGATGAGTGTGGTTCTAGCATGAACTAGGATCTTTTCAAAAGAACAAAAAATAGCAAAATGGCAGCTATTTTACGAAAAAATACTAAATATTTTCATATATTCGGTTGCTTTTTTGTTAAAAAATGAAAAAGTATTGCATATTTCGCAATTATCCTAGTTCATGCCATAGAGAGTTCTAAAGATACTGTATAAATTTGATGTTGATATTTTGAATAGTTTTCATGTTATCGTCTATGCAGTGCCGAAAAATGTACTTTCGAGAAAAACAGCTTTAAAATTTCCCGGTCAGTTGTTATACCTGCGCGTGGTACATTTCAGCAGGCTATAACTTCGTTAGTTTTCCGCATTTCAATTTAATATTTCATAGATATATTTTCGAGACTACATACTAAAAGAAAACGCAAAAAAAGTTCGATTTTTTAAATCCCACAAAGTAGAAAGGCCCCTTAAGGAAATAAAGTGTTGTTTATTGCCATTAACGATATTGGGAGAAATCAGGAACGATCGTATTTCTGTTTTGGGTAGCTTCCATTCGAATAATTCGTATCGAAATATTTGAAACGCGCGTTCCAGGGAATTAACGACAACGTTGGAACAATGAGAATCGATCGTATCGCTGGATACGCCGAGGTGTTCGTCGCGATCGATCCGGGAATCGTGTATCCTGTCGTCGAGGCGCTGTCATTCGCCGCATTACTCGACGTATTGCGTAAGAAATGATCGATCGAAGAATAGAAAAGCGCTTCTTCTGCGCGTGAGAAACGATCGACGAGGTTCGACGACCTAGCACCTCGTTTCACCCAATTCTCGCCAAAGGAAATACACTTTCCTCTCTTTGTCTCTTCTCTTGTAAGAGAAAATTAGGATGTATTGCTTGAGAATGACTACAATCCATGTCGTTGAGTCTCGAGTACCCGCACGGACGATTACGCGTACCCGATCGATGTTCCCGGGCCTCGTTAGATCTATTTCTGGTATTAACTGGTATTAACGCGTAACGAGAGCGACGCAGAAGGACACAGCAATGATTACTCGAACACAGTAATCAACGAATAATAGCGGCAATCAATATTTCCTTTTCTCAAACTGGATCTACGACCGTGTAATTCGAGAAAAATGACACTCCGCGCCGCGAATTTAAATCGCTGGACGCGCAACGAGGAGAAAAAGGTATGGACGTCCGGTTTCACGCGATTCGAGCATTAATTTTCGCCCACTTTGTTGCACGCTATTAGAAACTCGTTAACAGATCAAACGTGAAAGAACATTCTCGACACAAGATTGCATTTTAGAATTTATTCGACATCAGAATGGACTTTTCAAAAAAATTAACAAAATATTTCTGCACCCTTTTTCCGATATTCCACTTCGTATTTCTATCGACCATTCAAACTACGAACGAGTAAATATTATTTCTTGCCCCGTGATTAAAAGAATTCTATTTACGATCTCGAAGAAAATGAAATCTCGAGAAAGGAAGCTCGTAACGGGGCGTAAATTCGAATGCCCCGCGAGAAATGGCGGAGGCTCGAAGTGCGTACCTTGTTCCTCGAGTAGACCTGAAGCACGTCGGCCCACCATCTTGTCTCCTCGCGGCACGTGCCCTTCACGAAGGTTACGCCCTCGGGCGAGGTCACAGCGAGGCTGTAAGGATGCCCGGTGACGTCCTCCGCGGCGGCGACCTCCAGGACGCGGGTCATATCGATCCTCGCTTGTGGCACCGTCTCAGGCTGCAACAAAAAGGCCGCACCGACGGTTAATCACGGGTCTAGACCAGAGATGATTTAATAATCCGCGCGTAGATGGCTACTTAATTGAGTAATCGCGCACGGTAGCCGTGCAATTTTACTTAATAATATAATAATTCGATAGCGATCGATAGCGCGATGTAATGGTCGGACGATCGGGAGCCTTCGTCGCGCGAACGACGTCAGCGCGGGACAACGGGCCCGTTTCCCGACGAACGCGGACCTACAAACACAGAAAAGCAACCGGGTCGATCGGGATCACACGATTAATTCCATCTCGAACAGTTTCGAATAGAAGACGCCCAACGAGATACTTTCAAACTCATTTTAGGCACTGTAAAATGCAGGTGTTGAACTGTCCTACCAATCGCAATTTTTATTAAAGCGAGATGTAAATTCACTTCCGCGAATTCCGCGACGATTTAATAGGACGGAAGGATTGTGAGTAACCTTATTAAACACAATCTAATTTTATTTATATAATAACAAGTAACTTAACACTATGTACAGAATAATCAGTTAAAGATATTTTTGGGTTTATGAAAGTGATGTTGCAACAAATCTGTTTTTGAAGAAGACTGCGTGCGCAGAGTCTGTCGGTGGTATTTAAGACGAAAACTCCCGTTGGAAGGGGAGTCAACATTTGGGGGTGTCTTCTAACGGAGGATCCGCCTCCGTACTTGGAGGTACTTATTTTGAATTTTTTGTAACGGATTGAACCTGGACTGGCCTCGATGTCGTAGGTTCGCTAGATTTGTAAATCATGCTTGCAAAACCGTAAGAATCGTAAAGGAGAAAGTTTCTGTGACTTCCAAAAAATAATATTTTAAAAGGGACTGCTGCGACATCGGCTGACGTACGAGATTATTGCTGGTACGTGCTTCTAAAGATTTCAGAATTTTTGCGGAACAATGGGAACTTTCCGAAGCTGTGAAGGGTCGGAACTGGACAGGTATCGCTACAATCGATGGGTTTGAGGTAGCCTAACAACGAGTTTTTCCTTGCCTCGCAATTGAAAATAACCAAAACAGACACAGGAACGTTGGTCTTGTCTCCGTTGTTTTAATTGCACAACAAGGAAACATAAACTTGAATATACGTCTTCCCTCGAAGCACCGCTTCATTTGGATGACTGTACCTTCTTCGGTTCTCTTCGAAAACTACGACATATGCTATGAATTTTTTTTACTACAACATCGGTGGAAAAAAGAGCGTCAGGAAACGGTAGACGTAACAGAACGGGCTTTTTATCGACCATTTTCGATGGCTTTCACGAGCCCCGTAGAACTGGCTAAGCCGCGGACAGCCGTAATTTCGCGTTTATTTGTTCGACGTCGGTTTTATTACGGCCGCGTATAATTTAGTGCGACCGTAACGCGCGCGACAGTAAAAACCGCGGCAGGTCGCGGGACAAGTTGGCGCGACGCGTCGAATAAAGTCTTCCGGTGTTACTTTGTCGCCGATTTCGGTGCGTGACCGTCGCGACGCCCCGTCCGGAAACGCGTCGTTCCCAGGGCGGATAAGTGGACGGCCGCTGTTACGACCGCGACTATTCGACACTCGTAAACGCGGTGCTTCCACGGGGAATCGCGCCTTATTACTATGTCGACGAATAGTTCTCGCCTCGTAAAACGAAATCGAGCCAAAGATCGCCGACGCGATCGCGGAGAGGTTCGAGAAAAATAGACAAGCGTTATTCCTGTAAAAATTTTTTTTTATAACCGAAAGTAAATGGCTCGAGAACGTCTGAACACACCTTCGATTAATTATTCTCCATTCGTTTTATTATACTTGCCATTTTAGCTTTGTAGTAGGTACTCGGACGACTAGAATCGAGTTAAGAAAATAGCAAACAGGAGACAAGCGTAAAGTTGAAGATCATCCGGCTGATCTATTATTCTGATGAAACGTTCGATATAGAAATCTGTTATTTTATTGGCGCATAAACATATGTATCTCTCGATCTACCCAGATTATTTCGCAGATTCGGAGGCCACGGATCGCTGATGACGTCGGGGACGAGTCTTTATTTCGCGTTTTACGCCTTTATTGGGCCATAAAAAATTGCAATTATGTATATAGCGGTGGTAAAATCGAGACATCGAGTCTGCTCGCGTCGGTTTTAAGATTTCTTCTCGAAGCATATTATAAATAATTTGTAGTAAATGTTACCTGAGTATCGTGTGCTTCTAAAAATGTTGCACAATTACGTTTCTTCGAGATCTCTTATGACTATAACATATCGCCTCGACTTCGGAGGCTTCGATACCGATTACAAACGAGGGGAAAATTTCATCTTCGATCGAGGAATTACCGCGATAAACAAACGATTCGAGGTATTTCGATTACCGGGCCGCCGGGTTACCGGTTACTGTCGCCTTGGGTAAAAAAATAGGCCCTCCATATTGGTCGTAGAAAGTCGTTAGAGGAAAGAAAGATCCGTGAAAATGGCGGTCGACCGCGATTCGCGACCGGGGATCGTGCAAACGAAGTCGCCCACGGCGACGAGGACGATCGTTAAAGGTAACCGGGGTGGAAGGGAAGGACGAGGGTGACGGGAAAAATGCCTCGTGCTGAAACGGTAGTCGTGACTGCTACAAAGTATCGTCCCGGACGGCAATTAACCTTTCGAACGCGATTGACGCGACGAGTAATATATCGATGGGGACGCGAGCGGCATTAAAAACTGGACACCTGTCAGACGCTGAACGCGAAAGAAAATTAAATAGGGATCTCGGTTGTCCGAGGAGCCGAGTAGCCGTTCGCGGAGGAGTTATATTCACTTTGCGACGCAGACTCAACCTACCCTAACCCGACTAGCATCCTTACGCGCAGCTTTTAAATCACTTTTTCCCGCGACACCAACATTTTTACTCTTTCAAGGTCGAAAACAGTTTACCGCTAAACCTCTACTTTGCATCGTTATTATGATTATTTATTGTAAAAGAAACGAGCTCTTTAGATAGATTAATTGGCAATTTTAATTTTATCGACTAAATAACTCACAAATGCCTGACCATCGACCGTTAACAGATTTTTCATTTCAGGTTTGTCACTTAAAAAATTACTGGAAGTATCAAGTAGTTCCATAAATCTTTTCAAGCACTTCCCTTTCGAGTGGTCTCACATAATTTTCATTTTGTTTTTGTTGGTCGTGGATTAGGTTTAATTCAGATACACTTGTGTAATCATAAGCTTAACTATTAATGTTTATTATACGTATATTAGTGAATATAAGATATAACACACGTGGTGGACAACACAGCAGAAAACATCTCGCGATCGGAAGACGAGCGACGACAACACGCACACATACAATTCGTACACACACACTCACGCGCACATGGCGGGCAATACGAGGTTCTATCTCAACAGTTTTTGACAAAATAACTTGAAGAAACGTTCACATTTGGCACTAGCTTTAATAGTATTGATACCCATTGTAACTAAATTTAGTACTTTGTTTTGTTGGGATAGGTTGTTGTAGGAAAACACTTTTAGTGGGGTGACAAAACTTTCTTTATTTTTCCGTTGTTTTCGGTTAGAGCGCGCAAAACCAAGTGAAGTTATTCTTTGCTCGTCTCCATGTCAACCCCTCGGTTGCACTGGCAAAATTGTTAAACAACCCTGATTGGTTAACCCCACGCGTTGGGCCTTTCCAATCAGGGCCGTTTATTTTTCCAAATCACCGCCTATTTCTTACGCCCACGGCGTGCTTGTTTTCGAAACGGCGTGGTGATTGAGGGGGACGACGTTGCGCCCTCACTGCAAGATTTCCTTCGGACCACCCGCGCTGGGCCCACTTGGCGAAACTCCGATGGGTACGCGTCGAGTGTCTTCCGAAAATCCCTAATTTACGACGGTCTCTATTTGCTGTTGAGGGACTTAGGAAAAGAATTTACTAAACGCATTCGATACGCGAGTCTGGAAAATATCTTCCTCAAAAACAGCTTCGACGAACGAGAGTCGTAAATTACGTGGGCCGTTTGCACGAGAGAAAAACTTTCCCATGTGCGCACGACCGGTCGCTACAGTTTAGAACAGGCGAAATGTTTTTAGCTACCAGGTTTCCCATTTTTTGATTCTCATGTTTCATCAATTTTAAGCAACTATTTTTCTTCCCCATCATATTAATAACACCATCTGCAGCACAAGATGTTATATTTTTCTTTGGTATATTATTGGCATCTAATTGTAAGTAATGTTTTAGCTTGCTATACATACATCTTTGGAGATAGTGGTGCTTTCTAATGTTTTACAGAACAACATTTCTTCAGCAAAATCACCTTTATCGATATACTTTACGTAAGTTGTAACAGCCTCGCTGTCTCTCAAAGTAGATTCATCGAACTATCGCGATTGGGCAGTTTCGAGATCGAGCAGGAATTTCAAAGTTCCACCGGCTGTTTATCCAAACGCGGGTCGTCCCGGGCGCTGATTTATCGCTTCAAAGGGAACGAGCACGCTCGAGTTACGAGTCACGAGTACTCGCGACGTGCACGTAACGCGCTTCGAATAATGGGCGAAGACGCTCGAAACGATCCTCGAGATTCGGGAACGACACTCCGTTAATGTCGGAGAAACATCGCGCGCGGTGCGCCTTAAATTATCCGGCATGCTCGTTTATTCCGTCGCGCGGGCAGCGAAATTTGTTAAATGTAGATTCCTCCGCGGTGGAAGCGGTTCATTAGCCTGCCCTCGCAATAAAAGAGCCCCGGTAACGGTAACGGTTCGTCAGCGGGCTCTTATACCGCTTAATCAAGCGCCGCGTGAAACAAGAGGACTCGCGGCTAACGCTGGTTAACGGAGATATAACGAAAAAATAAAAAAAAATATATCCCCCCCGTCGAATCGTGCATCTTCTCGTCGGCGAGCGGCTGAAAGGGCAACATTAAACGGCGGGGGCACGCGGGAGGCGAGCGTTTGTAAAATGTAAATTTTTGCCTGCACGCGAGGACCGCGAGAAATATTGGCGCGCGTGC